GGTGCCTGAGTGCAGCTAAACCCAGCTCTGAGGGATTATGTGCCGCCCACTCCTCGGCAAGCAATAATCCTCCAGCCTCCACTGCCAGGCCTTCCCCCGCACTGTCTGCCCGGGGACGCTCCCAGCGCGGCAGAAAAGGCTCAGCACAACTGCCTGGACACTTGTTAGCCTGCGAAGACGCTGTCGCTTGTTGGTGTGATCAGGGGAGCGGCACTCGGCGCCACAGGAGGGCGCTGGGCCCCGGCTCAGGCCCAGCATCACGCCTGGGTTTGTCTCCAATGGATTTATTCTCACTGGGCCGGTTCCCGAGAGCCACATCTGCTGTATGGCCCCCGACGAGGCTGAGGGCCAGACAATTTCACTCCAGCGGGTCCCTGCCCCCCAGGGACTAGAGATCCAGCCAGTCGCAATGCCGCTGTCCTGGCTGCGCCTAAACCGAGCCGCCGGCTTCCAATAGCTGCCCCAGCTCGACTCGGGAGGGCGATGGAGGGGCTCCCGGGGCGCTCACGCGGCTCTGTGCTCAGAGCGATGGAAACCCGGCGGCTCGGCTAGCCAGAGGCAGCCGTGTGGGGCTGGAGGAGATAGAGGCGGCTGTGTGGCCCGTGACGCAGTCGAGCGGGACTCCTGCCCTGGGCCAGACCTGGCTTCTTAGCGCAGCCTGGCAGCACTGGCGCCTGTGCGCTCTGGTGCCGTGTGTGCTGAGTCCCTGTACCAGCCCGGGCCACGTGCCATCTCCCTCCCCCTCCTCCCGTGACCCCGCCAGGTGTGGCCTGTCTGAGCCAGAGCCGGGCGTGCCAGAATCGGGGGTCACTGGCGCCCCCTTGCTACCGTGTAAGTAATACGTCTCACCCCCTGGCAAAAGGCTCAGCCAGCCCCATGATCGATCGATCTATCCTCATGGACACCCCATCTGTCTGTCTATCCCCATCCCCCCTCTATCTATCTAGCCCCATCCACCCCCCCATCTATCCCCATACACCCATCTGTCTGTCTATCCCCATCCTATCTATCTATCTATCTATCTATCTATCTATCTATCCCTATACACCCTCTATCTATCTATCTGCCAAGTCTGTATTCTGAACCAATGGTCCGCTCGGTGAGGCCGAGGGCTAAAGTGCAAAGTAATTAGTGACCCTGCGCCAGGCCCTGCCCAGGATAAGGTTTTTGGGGTGGGGGGCCAGGCCTGGGGCTGGGCCCACAGCCGGTTCCTAGGAGTAACTTGCTTGCAATCAGGGCCCCTGGGAGGTGATTCTGTTCCCTGATGCTTGTTCGTGCCGCAGCCGGGCTGGGCTTGCAGGACTGCGCTGGCTGCAATCACCCTGCCAGCTCCAAAGGGCTTCATTGCTCTGTATGATGCAGTGCCAGGACGCGGCTCCGGTATTCCAGGGCGCATTAACGGCCCATCTTCACCAGCTGATGCGCCACCAGCCTGTCTGAGGGCCTGGTGGGTGCTGGAGCTGTGGTTTATGGGCTTGTTTAATGCTCCGCGTTCCAATGCCAGGGATATTATAACCGCGCTGGGGAACATAAGAAAAGGGAGAGAATTTATAAATAGCTTCTTCCTCAGAAGAACCAGACCAGAAGGGCCACTGGGTGGAAGGAGCAGGCGAGGAGTTGTAGGTAGCTGTGGTGTCTACAACCGCTGACCGAGGCCGGGGCCATGCGGAGTGACAGATGGTCCTGGCTCCCAGAGCTTCCCCTCTAAACCGACCAGCCAAAGGCAGAGGTGGGGGACCGAGCCCCAGCAAAGCGGTGGTGACTTGCCCACGGCCCCCCGGGGGGTTGGGGGCAGAGCTGGGAACTGAAGGCAGCTCTCCCAAGTCAGGTCAGTACCTTAACCACACGCCGGCTCTGAGCTGAGGCTGAGATAAATGGGACTGCAGCAGTGCATGTAGCCTGCGCTAGAGCCAGGCAAACCACAGAGCAGGATTGTTTTTCTTTTTAATTGATTTTGGTGAAGGGTGACGTCTGCAGGGAAACAATTACCCAGGCTGTCAGGGACTCAGGGACGGCCAATGAATAAGGGGGATTCAGGGCCCAACTCATTTCTGACGAGCTGCGTCCCCAGCCGAGTGACAGTCAAGGGGGATCCTCACCTCAGCAACCACTGCCACCTCCTCCCCTTTCCGCGTGGGCCTCTCTCCTTGGTGTTTAACCGTGAAGGAGACGTTTGCTGGGGCCGCCAGCCCTGATGTTGCTAGTGGATTTCAGCTGGTACCAGAGAATCTCTCTGCGCGGAGGCAACCCCCCCGTACCAGGGACTCGCTGTGAGACTGTCCTGACCCATGCGCACCCCTAGCGTGGGAGCACGGCCATTAGCCAAAGACTGATGCAAGCCCCATACCGGGGGCTCTGAGGGCTACGGGTATTTAGGTTGTTCAGCTCCCAGGGAAACTAATGGGAGGATTCATAGATTCTAGGACTGGAAGGGACTTCGAGAGGTCATCGAGTCCAGTCCCCTGCCCGCATGGCAGGACCAAATACTGTCTAGACCATCCCTGATAGACATTTATCTAACCTACTCTTAAATATCTCCAGAGATGGAGATTCCACAACCTCCCTAGGCAATTTATTCCAGAGTTTAACCACCCTGACAGTTAGGAACTTTTTCCTAATGTCCAACCTAGACCTCCCTTGCTGCAGTTTAAGCCCATTGCTTCTTGTTCTATCCTCAGAGGCTAAGGTGAACAAGTTTTCTCCCTCCTCCTTATGACACCCTTTTAGATACCTGAAAACTGCTATCATGTCCCCTCTCAGTCTTCTCTTTTCCAAACTAAACAAACCCAATTCTTTCAGCCTTCCTTCATAGGTCATCTGGACCTAAGCTGTCTCTATCCTGCCCCCTGCTGGTGTGCAAGGGAAAAAGTGGAGCGGGCCCAGGCTTCATTTGCATTTTTGTTACCCACCATCCCACTGTGAAAGATTTGGTCATTTTGGTAAAAATTAATTTAAGTTTGGAGTGGTGAGGAATGGAATTCGGTTCTCCTGAATGTGCAGCAAAAGGGCCAAAGAACAGTATGAAATATGCCCTGAGTGAGGGGTCGCCCTAACCATAATCCCAGTCGTGCACAGCTGGGCCGTGGTGTGTGGCTAGCAGTAAAACAGGAAAGGGTTGTCATGTGAGTGCTGATTCTCTCAGGTAAGGGGTTTGTTGGGTTAGTTTGTTTTCATTGTTTGAATAAGTTAGTAGGGGTGAGAGGGAGGTTGGTGGAGTGGTTATAGACACTAGTTTAGGACTTGGAAGCTAGGGTCCCCTTTTCTGTGTTGTAGACTCTGCATGATCTTGGTTAAGGCTCTGAGTTCAGCCTGTGTGGCTTAGTTCCTGCTTATGAAGTGGGACTATCAGCCTGGGCCTGGCTCACGCAGGGCAGTGACGTTGAACAAACGTTGCAAGGTGGGTGCATGGGTGTTGTGGTGCTGGGTGCAAGGTTGCCAAGCCAGCTCCTCGAGGAGGTAACATGGCAGTGATCACGGAAGCGGGATGAGCTGAGCCTGCAGCCACACCATAGGGTGAGACTGGGCAGGAGGAGCCAGAAAGCTCTGAACAGCCGCTCCTGTGAACCGGGTACCAGGTGGAGGAGGTGGGCTGAGAGTTCAAGGGACTCCTGGCACATCAGCCTGGGTTTCCTTAGCCCGAGGCCGTAATCATCTCTCGAGTTTCCCATATTCTCCTCTGGCGTTTCATTTCCCCTGTTCTGTGGGCAGCATGGCCAGGATGGGGCGGGCGACCAGAGCACTGGGTTGCATTTATTTCATTCTCAGAGCAGGAGTACCAGGGAGACTGGCTAGCGGCTCCAGCCAGCCTTGTTAAAGGGCCCCTCGAGGCTGCCGGGCCCCTTGGCAGAAGGGTTTCCGGTAGAGCCTAGAACTCGCCAGCCGTGACTGAGCTGAGAGTGAGCGGCTCTGCTCTGAGAGACCTGGCGCCCGCTGGCTTTAGGGCACCGCGGGGTTGAGTTTCTAGCGGCTGCGCTACTCGACTCGGGGGGCGGGGGGCATCGCAGGGGGGTTCTTGGTAGGAAATCCGCCCTGAGGATTGTTTCCTGGGCACGCAGCAAGAGAACAGTCTGGTGCTTAG